CTCCTAGGAAATGATGTGTGGCACAAGAATAAAGCCTTTCAACCTGGTCCGTGCTTCTGTTCTGTTCCTGAGCTGCAGCGGTTTGATGCAAGCAGCTGCAACAACACAGCTGCAGCGGTTTGATGCAAGCAGCTGCAACAACACAGCTGCAGCGGTTTGATGCAAGCAGCTGCAACACAGCTGCAGCGGTTTGATGCGAGCAGCTGCAGCGGTTTGATGCGAGCAGCTGCAACAACACAGCTGCAGCGGTTTGATGCGAGCAGCTGCAACACAGCTGCAGCGGTTTGATGCGAGCAGCTGCAACAACACAGCTGCAGCGGTTTGATGCGAGCAGCTGCAACACAGCTGCAGCGGTTTGATGCAAGCAGCTGCAACAACACAGCTGCAGCAGTTTGATGCGAGCAGCTGCAACACAGCTGCAGCGGTTTGATGCAAGCAGCTGCAACAACACAGCTGCAGCGGTTTGATGCGAGCAGCTGCAACAACACAGCTGCAGCGGTTTGATGCGAGCAGCTGCAACAACACAGCTGCAGCGGTTTGATGCGAGCAGCTGCAACACAGCTGCAGCGGTTTGATGCGAGCAGCTGCAACAACACAGCTGCAGCAGTTTGATGCGAGCAGCTGCAACAACACAGCTGCAGCGGTTTGATGCGGGCAGCTGCAACACAGCTGCAGCGGTTTGATGCGAGCAGCTGCAACACAGCTGCAGCGGTTTGACGCGAGCAGCTGCAACAACACAGCTGCAGCGGTTTGATGCGAGCAGCTGCAGCGTTTTGATGCGAGCAGCTGCAACACAGCTGCAGCAGTTTGATGCGAGCAGCTGCAACAACACAGCTGCAGCGGTTTGATGCAAGCAGCTGTAACACAGCTGCAGTGGTTTGATGCGAGCAGCTGCAACACAGCTGCAGCGGTTTGATGTGAGCAGCTGCAACAACACAGCTGCAGCGGTTTGATGCGAGCAGCTGCAACAACACAGCTGCAACGGTTTGATGCAAGCAGCTGCAACAACACAGCTGCAACGGTTTGATGCAAGCAGCTGCAACACAGCTGCAGCGGTTTGATATGAGCAGCTGCAACACAGCTGCAGCGGTTTGATGCGAGCAGCTGCAACAACACAGCTGCAGCGGTTTGATGCAAGCAGCTGCAACACAGCTGCAGCGGTTTGATATGAGCAGCTGCAACACAGCTGCAGCGGTTTGATGCGAGCAGCTGCAACAACACAGCTGCAGCGGTTTGATGCGAGCAGCTGCAACAACACAGCTGCAGCGGTTTGATATGAGCAGCTGCAACATAGCTGCAGCGGTTTGATGCGAGCAGCTGCAACACAGCTGCAGCAGTTTGATGCGAGCAGCTGCAACAACGCAGCTGCAGCGGTTTGATGCGAGCAGCTGCAACAACACAGCTGCAGCGGTTTGATGCGAGCAGCTGCAACACAGCTGCAGCGGTTTGATTCGAGCAGCTGCAACACAGCTGCAGCGGTTTGATGCGGGCAGCTGCAACACAGCTGCAGCGGTTTGATGCGAGCAGCTGCAACATAGCTGCAGCGGTTTGATGCGAGCAGCTGCAACAACACAGCTGCAGCGTTTTGATGCAAGCAGCTGCAACACAGCTGCAGCGGTTTGATTTGAGCAGCTGCAACAACACAGCTGCAGCGGTTTGATGCGAGCAGCTGCAACACAACACAGCTGGAGTGATTGTTACATGGGGCTTTGTTTAATAGTCCAGATGTGCTTTTACAACCAACAAGCTTTCCTTCGGCGTGTACACGTAGCCACGACCAGACTATGCATGGATTGATCCCAGGATGTTAGGACAAGTGGACAAACAGGAGAAAGAACAGTGGAGTGTCTTTGGCTGGAACGATGTAAGGAGGAAGCAGCCGTCTGGCCGACACCAGTAAATAACCACAACGACGCTACTTGTTCATTTTTCTTATCAAATAAAAAACAAACGCAGACGGCCACGGCTTGTCTGTCCTCTTTACTTCTGGGCAGGGATCATGCCATCGATGGACTCTCCCTTCTCCAGCTTCTTCTCCATTTCAACCATCAGCTTGACACCGTCGACCACCAGCTGCACCTGCTCCACCTCGGAGGAGCCCAGACGGTCGGCGTTGGAGATGTCAAACACGCCACCCACGGAGGCTGTGTCCACACCACCTGGAGGAGAGAAAGGTCCCATTGTTTCACATCGCCATGGAGACGGCACACTGACACAAGGACCTAAACATCCATCCTTGAGTACCTGTGCCACGCTTCTGCAGACGCAGCCTGGTCAGGATCTCCTCGAACTTGGCGTGCGTGCTGAGCTTGGGCAGCTTGACGTGCACACCGCCACGCAGGCCAGTGCCCAGGTTGGACGGGCAGGTCAAGATGTATCCCAGATGCTCGTTCCACATGAAGCCGTGGTTGTGCTTCTTGAAGATCTCCTCAATCTGAGCAGTGTAGAAAAACTCAAGTTAGACTGTTGGTGCACCACTGCTGGACCCCTGGAGATGATGGACGATACCTTCTGCAGACCAACGCAGAAGCGTTTGAAGACCTCCTTCATGTTGCCTCCTTTCTGCATGGAGATGACACGCAGGTGATCCTCCTCGTTCACCCACACCAGGAAGGTCTTGTTGTCGTTGTGCCTGAAAATGAAAAAATCTCAGATTCTAGCTTCAGGACCTCGGGATGGTGTTGGACGCTTCCAGTTTTCCTCACCAGATGCCTCTGGCATCGGGCCAGTCGCGGGCCATACCGGCGCAGGTCAGCAGGGGGGACACCGGCTTGTCAAACAGGAAGTGGTCAGCAATCAGCTGCTCCTGCTCGGCGTCGGTCATGCCATCCAGGGGGTAGTACTTTCCCTTGAACTCGCCCTCCAGGCTGGACAGAGCTGGCAGGAGGAAGGTAATGAAAGCACATGGAAAAGGGGCGAACAGCTGTGATCAGTTAGACCTTTACCCTCGATGGACAGGTTCTGGATGGCTCTGCGCTCTCCACGGCTGTTGTGGGGGGGCAGGGTGAAGCCCTTGATGCTGCGGCCGGTACGCACGCGGCTGGACAGGACGTAGTTGGGGTCCAGGTCATCGCCTCCCTGATGGGGATATGACATCACCATTAAAGAAAAGAACTAACCAGTCACCAGACCAACTGGTAAGTCAGTAAACGAGCTGCACAAGTACACGAGTCAGAAGGACTTGTGATAGAAATGAGCTCAGGGCGGCTGGTTTGCACCGAAACGACTCGAGTCTACACCTTCAGGTTCTCGAAGTTCAGGTCAGTCTTGTGCTTGTCAGTGGGTTTGTATCCACCGTGACGGTCTGAGATGACCGGGTCCAACAGCTCCTTGAAGACCTCGTAGGACTCCTCATCACCAGCAACACAGCCCACGGTCATGATGAAGGGGTGACCTTAGAGGAGACACGGGGAGAAGGTCAGGAACGTTCGAGTTTCTGTTAAATATCCATCCTGCCCACGACTGTCTTCTTCTCACCAGGGTTGTCCACACCAGTCTGGATGACATCATCCACGGTGAAGCCGCTGGGGGTGGACTTGCTCCTGAGCTTCTCGTAGATCTCCTTTGTCAGCACCTGGAGCAGAAGGCATGATGTAGCGTGAGTGGAGAAGACCCTAAACCCACACACCTGTCCGGTTGTGTGTGGCCACATTAAGCTTTACAGTCTAAAATATTAAAATCACGCTTTTAAAACAAACTTAAATATTAGCGATGTTCTTTATCTTCCCGTGCAGCTCTGACGCTGAAACAGGCCCTGGCCACCAGGGGGCAGCAGCCGCGTGCTGGACTAGAGAAGGGTGGCTTCTGCTTTGGGGGTGGGGCTTAAAGGTCAGGCTGCTTGTACCTTGGCCATGTGGTTGTTGTGCAGAGAGAGGTCGGGGAACTCCTCGTCCGTCGTGAACTTCATCTTGTAGTCGTTGTGGCAGTTCTTCGTCATGGCTGCGGTTCTTGCTCCAGCTTAGAAAACGGAGAAGACAAACGTTTTAAAATGGCAGCAAGTTATGAATTCTCACAGGTTTGAGCCACGGTGCATGAAAGAACAGCCAGTAGAACATTCTGGTACTGCAGGCCTTCACCGAGCCGTCAGAAGAACCTTTCTTATATTGTAAATTCACTCGTTCATCCACCCACCCGCCTCTCTAACCCTAACCCCCCCAACACAAACCACTGGACAGTGAAATCAAGACCAACGTCTTCTGGGTAAAAGGAGACGCTGTCTCTCATTCATCTTCATTAGTCATGTCCTTATGACATGTCCGTGCGTCCCGTCCCACCAGCTGTCCCCCCCCCCCACCCCCGTCACTGCCAGGGTTATTAATAGCACCCCTGCTGCCCCCTCCAGCGGAGCCTCCAGACATCCTGATCTTCTCCTTCAGCAGAAACCTTCCAGGCCTTTGGAGAAGACCTCTGCAGAAGTAGCTTTGACTGGGTCCTTCACACGGAGGTCTGTTAGGTCAGCGAAACCCTGCACACCCAAAGGTCAAAGTTCACAGATTCCCCTGTTGGTTCCACAGCTAGATCCAGCTGTCCCGAACTACTCCGACACGTTGGATCTGTTGTGCAGGCGTCAGCAGCAATGGCTGAAGATTTGCTCTGCTCCGGCTGAAACAAGCTAATCATCATTTCCATGAAACCGCTCTAACACGACTCGGAGCTCGTGGAAGACGTTTCTGATGGTTTTGGGGTGAGTTTCCCCCTCATGATGTTCCAGGGAGACACATTTGTCCCCGAAACTCAACATTTCATTAAAAAGACCAATGAGAACATTTGTTACCTGTTTAGAAGAAAAAGAAGAGGTAATAGATCCCGGGATCAGATCCTGTCCACCTAATGTAGGGTCGCCCAGCTCTGACAGGTGATGGACTGCAGCATTTATACCCAGATCTCTGCCCCGATTGGACCTCTGGGTCTGGGCTCCCCTCCTCTGATTGGTCACGGGGGGTTTCTGTGCCCAGCCTGGTTTCTAAAAGGCAAGAACGGACGGCACACAATGCTCGAGAAGAGAGCCGGGGCAACAGCTGCTGGACGCATGTCCAACCTTTCACCTTCTGCCTGACAGAGCGGAGGAAGAACGGGTTCAAAAGCACAAATAAACTTCGTCTGTTTAGTCCAGAGCATCAGAATACTACCAATAAAGACAGAAATCCTTGTTTTTCTGCCATGTTTCGCTATAATGTTGTTTTTAAAGCCTTCTCAGCATGTCTGTCGTTCGGTCTCTTCAAGGAGATAAAATAATCCCGTAGACGCGTCGCATCGAGAGAACAGGCTGGCTTTCACCTGAGGAGATCTTTCTAACCGGTGTTCGAAGCAGCTTCAGCGTCCTGGTGGCAGGAACATCTGGAGAATTCTACGTTCATGAGGATTTGTGTAGGAATGGAGAGATTTAGTTTCCACGTCAGCATCCCATCATTACGCCACACCTGTAAGGTAAAAGGCCACCCTGTGCAGGTATGGGGGGGTGTAAGGGAGACTGAAGGGAGGCCCCGTGCGGCCGGTCTTTATATGCCTTTACAATAAAATCTAAATGAAGAACATTGTCTCACGTACCACAGGAGCTGCAGGGAAGTCCGTCTGGATTTCACCCGTTCTTCAGTTAGACATACCTGCAGAGCAGCAGACTGGATGCTGCAGCAACATGTGGGGTTTGTGTTTGGTGCATACAACTAGAAGATATGAGTCTTGTTCCTGTGCTGGGATGTGGAGACTCTGCCTCTTTGCTCCTAACACAAGGCTCCAGTTTCACATCGATGGCCGCCCTGACCATCCACAGACCCAACGTTCCAAATTAGCCTCTCCTCGTGCTGCTGCATAAATCTCCTCCTGGCAGCAGATTACCAGACCAACCAGCAGCAGACGGTGCTGAAGGGCCTGATCCGCTCATCCTATCAGCTGGAGCTCATGGACTCCTACTTACAGGACTGAAACTCAACCCCTTCCAATGTTCCAGTGTCACAAGAGCTGGAGTTGCCGGTCTAATGGCAGAGGAAACCCAAACAGACGTGTATTTGGATCGCCGAGAACGGCACAAAAACCACTACCCAGAGTTAGACAAGTGGACGGGTTGGACCAGTCCAGCCATTCTCCTGTGTTTACAGAAGCAGGTGTCTGGGGCGGCCAGCGGAGGCTTACAGCTGTGCTCGGTCATAAAGTAGTCCCAAGACTGGCTCCGGTCATTCCTTTATGTTACTAATTATCTCCACCTGCAGTCAGTGGGATTATTTAGGTCTCAAGCTGAACTGGGATTACGACTGACGAGTTTACTCACAACGGTAGTTGGATCTGTTCACTTCCTGTGTTTTATGCTAAGCTAAAGCTAACAGCCACTTTGGGGACTGACTACTACGCCACAGGCTGTTTACCTGAAGACACGCTACCTCTGGAAGCACGTTTACCTGACAGTTAGCTTGTAAATGGCTTGTAGCGTATCATTATTATTCTGTAAACAAGATTTTTTCCCTTTGTTTACCATCATTCACGAAATCATGACAAACACGGTCTTTTTCATAAATCACCACAAACATTGTTTATTTCTGCGAGTAATTAAACTACAGTTCTGTATTTTTATGTATTATCACCTATTTAAAGTAAACCGTGCTTAATAAGCACGTTACTATTCTGTAAACAAGAGCAAACTCGTAACACTAGCTGCGGTAGGAATATTCGACGAGGAAGCACTTCTAGTCCGAACACCGAGTCAGGAGAGTGACTTGGCGGGGTACAGTGTGTTTTCCCACTTATCTAACTAGGAATGTCAACAGAGAAAATATCAGTTTTGGGTTAAAAAAAACATTAAATGTTCCCTCAGTTAAAAAAAAACTTTCATTTTACTTTACATAATTACACACACACACACACACGTATGTGTATATATACACACACACGTATGTGTATATATACACACACACACACACATATACACACACGTATGTGTATATATACACACACACGTATGTGTATATATACACATACGTGTGTGTGTATATATATATATATATATATATATATATATATACACACACACACACACGTGTATATATACACACACACACACACACGTGTATATAAACACACACACACACACACACACGCGCGCATACACACACACATACATACATACACACACACACATGTGTATATAAACACACACACGTATATATATATATATATACACACACACACACACACACACACACGTATATATATATATATATATATATATACGTGTGTGTGTGTGTATATATATATATATATATATATATATATATATATATATATACACACACACACACACACACGTATATATATACATACACGCACACATACATTACACACGCACACCCGTAAAGGTCACGTTGACCAACAGGTGATATCTGGAACCCAGCCGGACCAGTTAGTTCTGCCTCTGTGGCTCTGGTCCAGTATCCCAGTTTAGATTGTCACCCTATCCCGCAGCAGCCCCACCCCCAGACCTCCAACAGGCAGCAGGGACCGTCATGCCAACCAGGACCTCTTCCTTTCAGACCCAGTTTACCAGCTGTGACCCTGTAATGAGAACAGGTATGACTGTTTGGAGTTAAGATCCTTCCAAGCCTTTGACCGGTTCTGAGTTGGGCCCGCTGTGGAAGTAGGACATCTGCTAAGTTCAGCTTTGAGCGGCTAATCCTTTAGTTTCTGTTTAAATCTGAGTCGGTCTGTGTTTTGGGCTCCTGCTGATACATATTAAAATAACATGTACATGTAGAGGAACGGGTCTTCACCCAGAACCCTGGATCACCACCAGGATGAGGGACACTCCGTGTTCTCTAGGCACAGTTTAGGTTGGCGTGCGGCCCGACGGCAGCTTACAGCAAACACCTTTGGGATCCGTAAGGGAAACACGGATTCTCAGGTTTACACGAGTGCTGCCAGGAACAACTGGGAGTCCTTGAATCCACTGACAAGCTGGTGAAGCTTCATTCAGCTGGTTGTGTTTTCATCTCAGTCCCACTTCTCTTCCGAAGGAGATCAGAGAGGAAGCTGGAAGATCTGGGATATCCACTCCTACTTTGGATTCCTCCAGACTGACCTCAGCTGACCTCAGGCTTACAAGTCCCGACACACAGCAGGAAAAAAGATGTTAGCTGTTGGAGGAGACCACAAATAGACTTTGGCATGTGCAACACAACTGTGTGGCCATGTGTAGATGCAAACATTCACGCCGTCTAAAGTGTTTCTGTAGGGCTCTGGTGTGAAAGGATGAATAAATGAGGAAGTAATGTTGTGATTTGTGAACATTTTTCTAAAACTCTGGTTCAGCTTTGTCGGGGCGTCACCTTGTCTCCAGTCTCGCCTGCTCACCTGCAGTTTATCATGATGTCATTATGCATTACATAACTAATAATTATCAGTTTATATAAACAGTTTATTTGTAAATACATTTGGAAAGAAAAAGACCGGAAGTGTAGATGGTTAAAGGTCCCATTTGTTTTAGTAGAGGGGTGGGGCTTAAAACTACTGGAACCAGCCACAAGGGGGCATATGTCTGATATTTATGTACAATAGTCCCTTGCTATAACGAGGTTCACGCTTCACTGTTTTCCGTGTTTTTCCCATCGATAAATAAAAGGTGACAACAATAACTGACATTAATGAAAATCCAGTCAGAAAATGGAAAAAAGAACCAATCAGAAATTGGAAGAGGCAGAACTACACGAGAAAAGAACCAGTCAGAGCCCGCTGCTCTTTGAACAAGGTGGCAGTAAACATATGTGCCAGTGACAGTTGAACAATTTCTGTCAAATGAGAAAATGTCCTCAGCTGAGAGGAAAAGTGTTAGATGTGACCATTTGAAAAGTGTTTTCTTAGTGAGAACACATCACCTGGTGAGGTTGCACAACTGTACATCTGAGGTGGCTGTGTGCAGTACTGGAGCTCCACAGGGTACGGTGCTCTCACCCTCTCTCTTCACCGTCTACACCTCGGACTTCACCTACAGCACCAGCAGCTGTCACCTCCAGAGGTTCTCAGATGACTCGGCCATTGTCGGCTGTGTGTCTGAAGGGAATGACCTGGAGTACAGATCAGTCATCATGGACTTGTGGACTGGTGTGAGCGTAACCACCTTCGCTTGAACACCAGTAAGACAAAGGAAATGGTGACTGACTTCCAGAGAAACTCTCCTCCTCACTCACCAGTAAACATCCAGGGAGCAGACACTGAGGAGGTGGATACCTTTAAGTACCTGGTCTTCACCTCAACAGCAAACTGAACCGGTCCAACAACACAGATGCTGTACAAGAAGGGCCAAAGCCGCCTCCACCTCCTGAGGAGGCTGAGGTCCTTCAGAGTTAATTCCCAGCTGCTAAAGTCCTTTTACCACTCTGTGGTTGGCTCTGTGATCCACTCTGCTGGCCTGTTGGGGTGCAGGCAGCTCTGACCTAAACAGGAAGAGACTGAACAAGCTAGTTAACAAAGCTAGCTCAGTTCTGAGCTGCTCACTGGATTCAGTTGAGGAGACGTGTGAAAGGAGGATGCTGGGGAAGATGACCTCCATCTTAAAGCCCCTCCCACCCACTGGTTTCACTGTGGAGACCATGGACAGCTCCTTCAGAGGCCGACTGAGACATCCCAGATGTAAAACAGAACGCTACCGTAGGTCATTCATCCCCTCTGCAGTAAGAGTGTAGACCTCAGGGGCATTGGCGAAAATACCAGGGGGACATGTCCCCCTATGGTATAAAGTTGTAGTATTGTCCGATGAAAGCAGAGCACAACCGAAATAAATTAATCCCACATGTGGCAAGGCGGAGATATGAGGGATGTCCCTTTGGCTGACTGGTTAGCATGTGTGACTCTCACCCGGGAGCCTGAATCCTGCTCAGGCCCTTGTTTCTCCACCTTTCCACCCACAAATCAAGGTGTTTTAGTCATTCAAAGATGATGCCTCCCCCTCCACTAATCCTCAGATTGGTACAGTCCACAAGCTGCTCTGAACTGGCAGCTGTTGCTGCTCCGAAGCTCC